CCCCCCCCCCCTCCCCCCGTTATTGAATTAGGTGGAGGGAAGTAAAAACTCGTTATAAGTCTGGGAAAATAGGTCGTCTCCTCACGATTTCAGTCGGGATTTTTTCCTCGAAAATTTCACGGAAAAAGGACCCCGCCCCCGCACACTCCTTATAGGAATGTGCACCACAATCGATTTCCAATTTTTTTTATTTTAAATTCGTTTTTGGATGCTGATCTAATAAAGTCATCATTGCGCCAACTTTCTACGAGGTACCGTTTTCGCAGTCCGCGCTGAAAGTTTCGATAATTACTTGAATGAGTGAGATCAGCGCGGCGATTTGACAAGGAAACCCCAAGCCGGTAATATAGGTAAGGAAAATAGTGAAAGAGAGCAGAGGCGGATCCAGCAATTTGGCAACAACGGTTTCCTCCATTTAAACCTATGCTAAATAATCGATTCTTGTCGGAGCACCTGGCCCCTCCAAGAATCGATACATTTCCATAGGTTTAAATGGAGGAAATCGGGTGTTGCCAAATTGCTGAATCCGCCAATGAAAGAGAGAAAGAATCTGATTTGGACGGTGAAAAGAAAAGGCGCACGGAGTCCGAGATAAGACTGCCAGGTTTTCCTCGTTTTTAGCAAGTGCTGAAAGATAGATATCGCCTCGCTGGCCTCACCTATTCAAGTAAAAATTGAAACTTCTACCAGGACTGCTTTGCAAAATACCTACTGCGAAAACGGCGCCTCGTAGAGTTTGCGCAATGATGACTTTTATTCAACATTCAAAAACGAATTTAATGCAATAAGAAAAAACTGGAAATCGATCGTGGTACACATCTCCATGAGAAGTGTTCGGAGTGCCTTCATGAAATTTCGAACATTTATTTTTCATGTTATTTTCCATTTCATGTCCTGCATGTGCCGGCGCCCCCTCCACCTTGAATCTCCCCCCCCCTCTTCAGCTTCACTGAAGCCGTCCTAAACGTATTTGTCCTTGTCCTGCTCCCTCTCGGAAAACCAGCTCGTCCCTTGAAAACTGCACTCTTGCCTAAATCATTTCATGATGACCAATAATTGAAGAGTTATAATTTGAGGAATTTTTTCTGATAGAAAGCCGCCTCTCCTTTCCAAAATCGGTAAAGAAACTTTGTGACTTATCCCTAATCAAGCACAGCCCGATCCTACACGGGCCTCAGAGGTCTCCCTGTACATTTTCAGGGAAGAATTTAGTCAAGTATCATTTAGCTCGTGCTTCTCGGAGTATTCCTTACGAACTCTCATTTTCTCACCTGAAAATTCAAAAATTGCAAATCTGTTGTGAACGAAGGAGAAACGATCGAAACGTTGCTTCGCCATTCGCTGCTGACCGGGAACTACTTTCGTGCGCGAGCGACTGCGCGCAAGGCAAATGTGAGCAAACTCGTTTCAGCTGAACAACAAGCCTCTTTCTCCTCTTGCTCCTCTGGAGTTGAACTTGTGTGAATTCGTCCACTTTAACTTGTCGTTCTGTGACTCCACTGATTATCTTTCGTACCTCAGGTAAACTATTTCAATAACCTCTTTCTTTTCTAACAATCCCTGTTCGTACCCTCAATTATCCCTAACGGTTTTGATCGTCATTTTCTCAGTCTCCTTCCCAAGCCAGTCGTTTCGTTCGCCATTTTAATCCTCGCCACTGAAGCGTAAGCGTTTCCGTAACGGTAGGCTTTACCTCAAGTTTATCCATTTCAATCCTCTTATTCTCTTACTCAGTTAGTCCGATTTTGTTATAATTTCAATCTCCAAGCCTGATCAGTTCCTCTCATCGGTGATACATTAAATTTTCCTTCGTCATCGGAATTTGTAAGTGTTAGATTCTCAACTACGTAACACCTCTTTGTTCCATTTTTTCTTTTTTCTAATATGTTTCCCGTCTCAGACTCTTCTATCACTCAATTCTTTACTCTTTAAGCCCTTTCGCTGTAATCCTCTTCTGAGTATATTGCCACCTCTCCTATCTTTCTGCTCAACCTAATTTCTCACCTCAATTTTTGCAAATACTTCTTACACTTTCATGGCTGCCAGACTGTTTTATTGACTCCCTATCCTTCCTGAGAAGGTCCTGAAGGTGCAGTTCATAATCCATTTTATTTTTACGCCAGTTCCAATTTCTGCGGTCATTCCTCTAAAGTGTTCAGACCCCTGAAGCTTCACCAGGGTTTCTGTGAACATAGGCATTACAATTAGCTAATCAAATGTCAGCTTCGTTCATTGCGATATCTACCATTTGAACACCTTACGTCCAGTCAACCTGTTGGGATACTGTGGTATCAAATTACCGGGGTAATCGTTCTCACTGAAGGTTAATTCACTGAATATTCTATGCAGTTGCAACTAGAGACTTCTTGATGGCCCTAAACCATAGCTTACCTTATCTGCATCTTTGGTCCGCTGAGGATTGATGCACCGAGTTAAGATTTAACCTAATCACAGCTATCCAATTGTTCCATCTAGTTACTTTGTAAGTACCATTAGATTCTCTTCTACCTTTCATTTGAATCAAGATCTTCCATATTCTACTATCTTTCCGAAACACTGATGGGGGTAGGGATGGAAACATGCGCATTTCATTGCTATGGCTTGTCTCGAACCAGCTCTGCCAGCAATAGGTTACTGCAATACTTTAAAGTCCTCTCCTCAGATATGATGCCAGTATCAACTGTACTCGTTCTAACTGTTCGTGTTTCTTATCTGGGTAATGGTCTTATTTTGTAACTGCCTAGGCTGGCTTGTACAATTTATTGCCTATTTTCATGCCAAGGCATTCATTCTACATTAAACTTGATCCAGCTGGCTCTCATTCTGTTAATACTCACCCGTCCTCATAATTCTTAAATTTTCTAATCTCGCTCTTCATACTAACATGTGAAGCTGCTTGATATGCAGCCTACAGAATATTAGGCCAATCCTGGAGAAGTGCAGAGAGCACATTAACCTCTTATTTCTTTTCCCCCGTCAAATTACCTTTGATGGGTCAGCAGGTGCTACAGCCTTTTGTAGCAAGTTAAGAGAAAGCGTTTTTCTTGAAGTTCTGATGTAGATATCTGCCGGAGCGCCTTTGAAGCTCTGATATTGGCAATGACTGACCTATATCGTTGAGGTTATCAAATTGCCTACTTTCCCTCCAAGTATTCCAATTAACTTACTTACCTACCTGTATGATTCAAGGCAGATTTTATCGCTCAAGTTTTTGCTTTATCTATAGTTTTTCACCCAAAGATTTCTAGGAGAGACCACTTAGTTTCTCAATTAACAGACATCATATTCAGCATGTCGAGAAAACCTTTTCCTAGGACTAGTAGGATGTCAAAATTCTGTTGATGGAACACTACTGCAGTCCGTAACTACTTATAATCTCAGTTTTCCTCGATGTTCGTAACTTTTCTACTCTCTCACCCTGCCTTCTTCAATTGAGCAACCATCTCTTTCTGATTTGTCATTTAATGTATCTATGCCAAGAGCGAGCACTCTAATTTGGATTGCATTTTGCCAAAAGGAGCCACCAGCATTGTAATGTTGCTAAGACTGTACAACTTCTTTTGTATTGGAGGAAAAACCCGATTATCCCTTAATAGTTTCTATCTCACTCACTAAAAACTGTGAATTTAAGACAAAAATTACCATCTAAATTTCATATTTTTTCAAAATTTCTGCAATTTTATTGCAAAGGATGAAGTTGCACAATCTTAGCATCATTGCAATGCTAGTGGTTCCTTTTTGCTAAATGCAATCCATTTTCTCCTTGAGGCGTTCTGCTTAGGTGTTTTTCCAGACATTTTGCAGTTTTTTCACCGTTAGTAGTTTAGGTTCAATCAGAGGCTGGCTACTTCTCAGTCAGTAGATACTTGTTAAATCTTTTAACAAAGGTCAATGAACTATTCATTGACGCAATGCTGTCAGGCTGTAACAAACTTTTTGAATTCATCAATTTTCAACAGGCAACTTTCCCTGGCAGCACACCTTATTCTTGTTGCGGTTCTTGTTTCTAAATATCAACACCAGTAATTAGGTTGAAGTTGTAGCAGGCTTTTGGATACAGTAGAACCATCATATAGCTATTCATTTTGGTCCTAATCAGTCCGTCAATCTCACTAAAGTAGGCGCTCATTACAGGCTTCAATGCCTTTTCTGTGTTTTAATGCGTTGGAAAACCAACTTATCAAGATGTCAATCAAAACTACCAAAGAAAGCTAGTGCTACATAAATTACTGAGAAATCAAGGTCTCTGAGTAAACATAGCATAATGTGCAAGCTTCAGCTACACTCTGGCTCTATACAGTTAGTCAGTCAGTGAATCCAGCAACATTTTAACTATCCCTCAAACTGAGAGAGGTTATTATTGCTGTAAGTCAGGTATTGAATTTGAAGGCTGGAATGGCAGTTCCCTTGAGGTTATTTTTTGAGAGTTCTTCGATGAAGTGTTTCTCTCTGGAGACCAAAATATTTGCCCAGGAATTACCCGTACTTATGTTTATTCCTGAAGAATCCTCTTCAGCTTTCATGTCCTTTTCCGTTTCATCCCAAAATTCTGTTGCATCTTTCTTGCATGTAAATTTGTCTCTGGTGAATGCCTCAAATATTGATTGTTACTCATTATCGATGTCTACTTTTGGAAGAATTTTCGACAACATGTTTTCTGCAGATTGCTACTTTCATAAAATATCCAAATTTTTTCTGTGTTTGTATGGCCTCTCCTAAGAGGTATATGCACCCACCTGGCTGCTCCAATCACACAAAGTGTCAAGTTTCAAGGCTTCTTATTGGTTTAAAGATAACCATGAGATATTGATTGGAAAGTAATTTGTGCATGTTCTAACTTGAAAAATATTTTGCAAGAAAAAAACTGAAATAGGTATTGCAATTGATTCTCCTCTGCTTTACCTATGATGATGCAACGGCTGCCCCCAAAAAAGTGCAATGCCCTTTAATCTTTTTGAAACTGAAATTAATGCAGGATTTTTTTTTTCAAATTAAGCTCCAAAATGAAAACTTATTCAGTTCATTTCCTTAAAATTTTATCAACTGACCAAGTTTCTCCTCAGATGTGTTGTTGGGACCCCTGCATTATTATTGAGCACTTTTTTCGTTTCCTCTTCTTTTTTCCAGAAGAAAAAAAAAATATCAACAAAAAGTAAAGGAAAAAGAGCTGAAAATACAGGCGTCAAGCCTCTCTTTAGTTGAGATATGCAAGAATGGGTGCTTGCTGTCTTGATGAAGGATCTGTCACTCAGGGTTCCCCCTTGTCAAAATTTGCCATTGAAGTGGATCCAGCTTACTTTGACGTAGATATATCCTAAGTTTTACTCTTCATATATTTATTTCAGTGGCGTGGCGTGCTTTGCGATGTATCGATCGATACGCCACTCAAACCCATGAAAAAAAGTCGATTATCAGGGTGTTCGCAGTGAACACCTTAGTAATCGATTCTTTACCATAGCTTCAAACGGCGAGATATCAATAATCGATCCTTCACGCCACGCCACTGATTTATTTTGAAGCATTCACCTTAAAAGTATTCGTTCAAAATTTTCATTTCATGGAGCACCATGCTTAAGAGGTCTAACGAAACGCTCATGGATATTGTTAATGAGATATCTAGCTGCTATAGCGCAGCTCTTCTTCTAATGTTTATTTTAATTCATATTTTGAATCAGTCAAAACCATACCCTCTAACCATCTTTCTTTTTTATCTGTTGCAGGAATCCTATTGTCATGAATGAAGCAAAGTGTTTACTTTTGCCAAATGACCTACTTCATCATTTCCCGTGAACTGTGTGCTGAACGGTGTATCTCCGTGAAATTAGCTTTGTGATCCTTACCAGTGATCTAATCATGAACTATTAATTTCTAAGTGAAATTTTTTGTTTTGTTTTTGTGAATCAAGATAAACTCTGTTGCTTTTGATATTTGAAGTCTTTAAACGACTTAAATAGATATTATATTTTAATTTACTTGATCAAGTGAATTTTCTACTGTGGTTGTGTGACTTAATTAACTAATAAACAATCAAAAATGATAATGATGGAGAATCATATCGGTTCCAACCATGCGCTTTCCGCCAAAAACTCAAGCACCAAATTGTAAGTTCGCCTCTTTCTTCTATTCATTTTTAAGCTTGCTCATGGCCTGTTGAGACAAACGTTAACCTCTGATTATCCCCCAAATTAATACCAAGCAGCAGGTCAATTTAAGCATTCTGATGGCCCCACTGATGAGAGATTATAGAAAGAAGGTTTAATTTCCGTCTTAACATATGATGAGTAAGCTCTAACTACAAGTTCATCCTGAAGCATCTTCATACAGATTTGTTCAGTGTCCAGTACAATGTGTCAGCCTGGATTAGCGGCTCTGTTGATTGATGAAAGACTCCAGTAATACTCCTTGATTGCATAACTGGCAGGCAGTACTTACGATGTTGATAACATGCACAAGCTAAAAAATTGCAACTCCTCATTTCTTTTACAAGCCCCAGAATGTGTAAATGCGTAACCACTTGCCATAATTAAATGAACCTTAGATATTTATGACTTGCACAGTTCAAACCAGTGATTCACAGGAAGTATTATCAAGTGGAAAACAGATGCCCAGTATTATGAAGACTTATTTTGGAATCTTCTGCTTGTATCTAAATTGCGATGAAAAGAATTTTCCGTTACTTGCAGTAATCTTTTCAGGTAAGATATATTTTGGAGCTCACAGCTCCGAAACAAGTCTCACCTTAAAAGATTACTGCAAAAGAGGAACTGAAAAATTCTGCAACATTTTTTATCATAGAAATGATAGCTCTCGAAAAAGAGGGAAAAATTCTAATGGAAGTTTGGTTCAAAACTCGGAGAATTAGGAAGTAACTTTGAAGTCGCAGATACGGGGGAATTAGAACTGTTACGCAGAAATTTCTTGACCCTCTCATTTTCGAACAACCGCATTCCCTAGAAATTTCAAAGTGATGCCCTTCTATGGCTCTGTACCTACATATCGTTTGCAAAGTTTTTGCCTAAAATAATATGCGGTCATGAAGTTTTGCACCCTAGAAGTGTAAAGAAGCCTTGTACTTCTATGAATCATGTTCAATCAGCCTATGTTTATTTTTCTATGCTCTCTACTAATGTTTCTCATTTTTTTATTCTAGTGACGCTGATAAGGATGAAAGCTGGAAATCCAAACTGAAAATTCCTCCACCTGATAGGCGAATCAAGACTAGTGTAAGTTTATTCCCTTAATTTTTTGCTTCAGCTGAGCTTATTATGTTAATTCTTATGAATAAAGTATATCTCAATTGTATTTTCATTGAAAGTATGTATTCATGCAGATAGATACTTGCACCTTACATAGTCAGTTGATAGATAAAGGAAAGAAATTTTTGCATGTAAGTATACTCACAGGGTTTTTGGCGGCTTGGAAACCCGGAAAGTCAGGGAATTGGATGTGAAAACCAAGGAATTCTAGGAGTAGCTATTCATCTCAGCAACTTTAGCTGGTGTTGTTTATGAGGGCCAAAACATAAGGATGAGATGATCGACTAGTGGTGGTGAAGTAATTTAAGTTAATGATTGCTGTTGGTCCACATGTAATGTTAACTCTCTTTAATGTATGTGTGGATTTTGCACTTCACTAAATTTGGTTAATAAAGTACTTAATTCAAATCTTTGTAGTTGATCGGAAAGGCAAAAGAGGGAAACTAATATACTTAATTTTTAAAAATTTCTGTTACATTGTTTGACTTTTTTTATGATTCCCAATTTATCAGATAGTTGATTTTTGTGTTTTTGTGTTAACTTTCTCTCATTTTAATTTTTTCCATCTTTCTTTATTGTAGGATGTCACTGATACCAGAGGAATTGAATTTAGTGAATTTTGCTTGAAGCGTGAGCTATTGATGGGAATCTTCGAAAAAGGCTGGGAAAAACCAAGTCCAATCCAAGAAGCGACTATACCCATTGCACTGACTGGCAAAGATATCCTTGCTAGAGCAAAGAATGGAACTGGAAAAACTGGTGCATACTGTATACCTGTTCTGGAACAAATTAATCCCAAGTTGGATCATATTCAAGGTAAACACTTTGCCTATTTTCTTTGTCACAATTTTTTTTTTTCTTATGCTCCTGAGGATCCCTCTTGGAATCAGGAACCCAAGAGGGATGACCCTCTGAAGTCTTCAGCATTTTCCTTGCTGTAACAGTTAAAAATTTGAGAGGGATAAAGGAGTGAAAGAAAATCATAATAAATCAAATCAAATAAATTGGACCTAGTTTTATCAGAAAGAAACCAACCCACATTTTCGACAAAATAGAGTCAAGAATATTTTTAAGTTTCACTAGTCGCCTATTTTCTCCCGCCAAAATCTGAAAGTTGATAAAAAAAGATTAGTTTGTAAAAAGAGGGATTAAAGCTTATTTTCTGCATTGAACCTTATGCAGGAAAAAAACTGAAAACCTCTTTTTCTCAGTTTCAACTGAATGTGGGTTGGTTTCTTTCCAATGAAGTTGATCCAATTGAGCCTTGATGCCCATGAATGAGGAAAGGGGGGCTGGACCATCCAGGCGCCACGCCTGGAAAAGTTGATGCACTGTGTAACATTTTTCAAACTTGCAATAGGGGAACAGTGGTATTTAGCGTTCTCAAGGCACCATTTGTGATGCAGAGGGAGATGTATACACAGAGCAAAGCGGTATAGCTCATACCGAAAGTTAATTTTGCTCCTAAATATTTTAAATGAAATTTTAGGGGCAAGGTAGAACACTGCTCATTTCCCAATGGCAAGTTAACTAGTCCTCCCAGTTCCGTTACGCTCATTTGGAAAGATCTTAAATTTTTCATCGTCCACCCAATTGGTCCTGGATCCCTCCTATTTAAAACGATGGTGTAAAAATTGTGTGCCACTAAAATGAAATAAAATTAGAGGGCTCTCAAAATTGGTGGTACTTCCTTTTTCATCCACTTTGGTAACTTCTCTTTTGTGTCAAATTTGACATTGTGTCTCTATGTTTGGTTTTACAGCACTAATTATGGTACCAACCCGAGAGTTGGCTCTGCAAACGAGTCAGATTTGCATGGAACTATCGAAGCACATGGATATCAAAGTAATGGTTACTACTGGTGGTACTAATCTCAAAGATGACATCATGCGGATATATGATAAGGGTAAGTCTTGCATAAGACACATCAAGAAAAGGCTGTTCTGGCTTGAAGGCTAAACTTGAAAAATCAGGGAAACATCAGTGTAGTCCACGAAAAACTAATTCTCGGTCTGATTCAGGGCTCAGTGATCAGAGTTAAAATCTGACTAGTAAATGAAGAAATGATTTTCAATCAGGAATTGCAATTTTAGTTCATGCAATGATCTATACTTGGGAAAAGGAAGCCTCGCATATGTCTTTGTCAGTTGCAATGTAATCAATGCCAAAAATTGTAAATTTTCGGCTCCCTGAGTACCAATTTTAGATGTATGAAGTAAGAAATTTTGATAATTTTGGTCAGAAAAAACTTGGAAAAGTCTAGGGATTTTATTTTTTTCATGGTCCGTAGACACCCTATATTTGACTTGCGCAAACACTTGGAGGGGTCTATCATTATCTCATCCAATTCAAGCAAGAGAAATTCTGATTCAACATTTGAAAAACTAACCACAAGCAGGGAACCTTACCTCTAGCAGCAGGGAAGCGGTTGGCTAGCGTCTGATAATAACTTAGGCAACCAGACGGCGACAATGATTTTCAGCTCCCATGAGAAAATTTAATTTTGCAATTAAAATTAAATCATTACTAAATGTTTGTAAAACAAAGAAGTCTTTAATAATGCAAACAATCTAGCAAGCAGTGGCTGAAACTTACTTAGGACCTAAATGTTATCCTTTAGCTCAGCTCAAGTTTCAACTGAATATTATGGGCCAAAACTCAAGGTAAATTACTGAAGTGTATGAGACGAATGATTTAATCCTCTTTTTTGCTCTCTCAATGTGTTTTTGGCGCTTCAATCCAAAAATGTTGCATGTTTGTTTTTTAAGAGGCGATTTCTAACCAGCCTGCTCATCATGAAATATCAGGGATTACCCAAACTACACGGAAATCCAGGAAAAGTTAAAAAATTTCATTCCTCAACATTTAAGGCAACCCTGAAAATCTTTGGTTACTGTGATCTCCAAAATTAATTTAGTGCCTTCGTTTTCTATTTTGCACAATGTAAATAAATAATGTATATCTGTTTCAGTTCATGTGATAATTGCAACCCCTGGACGTATTTTAGATTTGATGGATAAACATGTAGCCAATATGGAACACTGCAAAATTTTAGTGCTTGATGAAGTAAGTTTTCTACTTTCTATAAATTCTTGTTGTTTTTCAGTAGAAGAGCATAGGTCTTGAGGTTGAATTATACCAGATAATTTCTCCTGATCGTAGGCTATTTTAAGTTTGTAACCAGTAGGCTGTTTTAAGTTTGTAACCAAAATCTGGTGATCATTTTGGCTGGAGATCGGCACGATGCATCATTTTTTTTGTAATTTGCCGAAAATCAGGTTGAAAAAGTTGTCTTTTCTGGAAAATCCAATCTAAGACTTATTTCCAGTGTTTCTTCTTGAATGTCTGGAAATTTAATGAACACATGGTGAATCAAAAAGAAATTATTTATTAAGTAAGTTCCCAAAAAATGCATATCTACTCAAGCATTTAAATGACCTTGTTAATTTGTACAAGTCCCTTCATATTTAGACCATTTATGCTGCATAACACCGCAATGTCCTTTTCAGACTTCTGAGTACCGAAATCATCATCTTATCAGTGGTCCTCTTGTCATATTTTGATCAGCCTCATATTCCTTTCAATTGGGCCGTTGCTTGATCTGGGAGTTGCCTTGCAAGTATGTGTTTCAAAAGAGACTGAAAAGAAATGCATAATCGGGTCATATAAAGCTCAAAATTGCTTCTTTGATTGTTAAATGGAGGCTTTAAGTTTTAGGTATGAAAAGAATGTTTGCAATCGGTATGAAGCCCATGGCCTCATGAAGCACCAGCCCATAGGTAAACCATCTTGAATCCATGGCAACACCGCTGATGTATAATTATTCTAATCACTCAATAAGAAAGAAAAGAAAGATAATGTTGTAAACTGGGTCGAGATTCATAATCTTCCATTATAATTGTAACCTGGAAGTACCTAGACAAATGCAGGTGATATCAGACCAATTGCTTTTTTTTTTTGCCACCAATTTTTTTCCCTCTCTGTAACAGTCATTTAACTCTCCGTTTTATCCATTTCAGGCTGACAAATTGCTGTCTCAAGATTTCCAAGGAATGCTAGACCATGTGATCTCAAAACTTCCCCAAGAAAGACAAATTTTCCTATTCTCTGCTACCTTTCCTCTTACGGTTAAAAATTTTATGGTGAGTCTCAGTCTCCACCATTAAAATTTCCAAGTCATTTACCTCTGTTTCTTGTAATTGAAAGAGCTCACTCAAAAAAAAAAAAAAATGCTCAAAGTTTATAGCAGTAACTGTGTTAACTTATTGTTGCCAGGAGCTAATTGGACTGCATTTTGCTATTTGGAGCTATAAATTCTGGCTCATTTGAAAAAACACTTATGTGCATAGGGAAACAGATTGAAACTTACACTGTTTTTAAACCAGGCTGGAATTTATAGTTCCAAATTGCAAAATGCAGTCCAATTGAATTTCACCTCGCTGCTGTCCCGGTGACTCAGTGAATATTGTTGACTNGGGGGGGGGGGGGGGGGGGGCTGGCTTATTACAGAGGCTCTTTCCAGATGGAAAACTGGAAATTCATACAAGAAAGTGCATCGAGTGCAAGGCTTGATGCTGAGCAATATTTTCAAATATGTGTTGTGTGAGATGAGTCATCTTATTTGTCCTGTTGTTTATTTTTGTTTCTTTTTTCTCAATTTTTCAGCATTATCTTTTACCAGCATAGAGTGCTCTAAAATTTGGTAGTTGATTGAAAACAAAAAAGAAGTAAGTCCGTGAGGATAATGACACTTACTGATTGGAGTTGCAAGTATTGAAGATTCGCTTGAGCTCTCTTGACTGTCGCAGTATATTTATCTTCATTGAAATTCACAAAGATTGAGTTTGATCGAAAAGGTGTCATAAACCCTAAGTGCTGTTTGAGGCCTCTTGCAGAATTGATTCAATATTTTCCTCTAGAGGCCAAATCCAAGTTTAATAAAAAACTGGAAAAACTGTTCCATTCAAAGTGTGCTTGATTCGATTAGCCCAGAAATTGCACTTGTCTCAGTAATATCTATTGAAACTGATTGTGAGCTCTAAGGATTGAATGTCTATACACAGTATGGTACACCTTTTCCCGTTTTTCTCAAAACCAGAATTTTGGCGCTTGGGCCCTGCAGAAAAATATTGGCTCAATTATTTTGACTTGGTGATCAGTTTAGCTAATTGATCATATGTGATGAAGCATAAACATGTTTTTTTATTTAGTGATTGTTAGCAGATAGTAGTTGCTAATACTCTGGTCTGTATTTTTGCAGGACAAGCATCTTAGGAACCCGTACGAAGTCAACCTTATGGAAGAACTAACACTGAAAGGTGTAACGCAATACTATGCGTTCGTTCAAGAAAGGCAAAAAGTCCATTGCTTAAATACACTGTTCTCTAAACTGCAGATCAATCAAAGCATAATTTTCTGCAACTCAACGCAACGAGTAGAATTGCTAGCCAAGAAAATCACTGACCTCGGCTACTGCTGCTACTACATTCATGCCAAAATGGCTCAAGCCCATAGGAATAGAGTGTTCCACGATTTCCGCAAAGGAGTTTGCCGAAACCTTGTATGCTCAGGTAAACTTAATCCTATCTTTTCTAGATAATTAAAAACTCCTCTCAATTCTATAAAAGTTTGGTTGTTATGAAGTAATTTTGAGGTCTCCTTATTTTCCTCTGATATAAGCAGGCTGGACTGGACGTCATTCATTAGTTTTTACGAAAAATGAAGAAATGCGTTCCCTTCATGAGCTCATTAAGTCCTCAAGAAATCGGGAGTGAGGAAAGGAGAAAGAATTAGACTCCCTGGTTAACTTTAAAAAAATTCTAAAACGTTCTTTCAATCTCCTAAATAGAAGCAAGTTTTGAAGTGAAGTACTCAGTTATTCATTAATGGCTGAGGTAACAAAATGTGCATCTGCAAGCGTGATGTTGCATATGTTTACTTAATGAAATATTTTGGTCAGTTGACTTTTAAGAGTGATAAATAACCGGAAACTAATGAACATTGCAATGAAGATCCTATTTTTTTTTCTCCAAGTCCTCATTATTTAGTAGTGCACTTTTGCAGCAAACCAGAATGGGCCTGTTGCAGACTATTGCTGGAGCAAAAATAAGATATGTCACTCATAGGAAATGTCTCAAAAATCGCAATGAGCGCATTGGCAAAGTCTGGAATGTACTCTACTTCACAATTTGCGTTTTTTTAAGCTTCCTGCTTCATAAAGGATACGACAACACAGGTGAACATTTCGTCAGAGGAGTCATTCCATCTAACCCCTGCTCACAAGGACACCACACAATATTCATCATAGCTGACGCCAATCCGCCAAAACACATGTGACAGGACGATGATTCCAACCACCTGACAATAATCGGCGTGTTAACATTCACATTTTTCTCGTGTTGATAGTTATCCACCTTGATTGACCTCGTGCTCTCCTCAACTTGCGTATGGAAGTATCGGCCATGTTGAGCAGGGATTGAAAGGAACGACTCCTCTAACGAAATGTTCATCTGTGCTGTAGTATCCTTTTTGAAGCAGGAAACTAAAAGAAAAGCAAATTTCTTGCGCAGATTGTGAAGTTAGGAGTACACTTCAGAGTTTACTGATGCACTCATTGTGATCTTCAAGACATTATCTATAAGAAACAATTCTTAGTTTAGCTCTAGCATAAGTTTGCAACAGGCCCATTGCATAGGTGACCTGAAGCCCAAGAATAAATCTTGTCTGTTCGCTTAGAATCCAAAGTTGGTAATTTACTTACACCAATATTATTGGAAATATTAGATAGAAGAAAGGGAAGGAATTTAGAGCTGAAATATAATGACGCTAGGGATGTGGATAGTATGCTATTCTTTAAGAGAATGAGAGATTATACTTTATTCGGTTGTGAGAAATGGGAGGAACTGCAATTGGGAGCTTTCAGAAATAGGGTATGGAATGAATTAATGAAATTCCAGAGAGATAACTGGGGGGAGGGTGAGCTTCTACCGAGATGTTACAGGTGGAAGGAGTTTGGTCTATAGGGACTGGTAAGGGAAAGGTCAAATATAAAAAATAGGTTAGGGATTGGCTCAAACTGGTTCACGAGCAGATGGGATTAGCCCTTGAGGGCTAGTTAAAAAAAAAAAAAAAAAAAAAAAAATACCGCTGATATGGAAACTATTATACTCAAAACAGCGGCAGCAAATTGTTTTTATCTTCTCTCTACTTGCAAACCTCTTGCAGATTGCACAGAAGCTCTTGATTTTATGTGAAGTTTGCCGCAAAGTTTCTATGCTGATTTTGAGAAGTTGTCTTGAATCATGAGAGTGTGCTGTCACCCTGCTTTCCTAATATTTCTCGGAAGATAGAGAGAAAGATTCTTCCGAAAAATTTTGCTCGCCTTGCCTCGTAATTGTTCATTTTTTTTGCATCAGTTGAAAACAATGTGGCTTAATTTCTCTCAACTTTTTTTACCGATAGATCTATTCACCAGAGGTATTGATGTGCAAGCCGTAAATGTCGTCATCAACTTTGATTTCCCCAAGATGGCTGAAACCTACTTGCATCGTATCGGCAGATCAGGCCGTTTTGGTCACCTTGGTATTGCTATCAATCTAATCACTTACGAAGACAGGTTCAACCTGCACCGGATCGAACAAGAGCTCGGAACTGAAATTAAGCCTATTCCCAAGGTAATTATTCACAGTCCTAGCAAATGATCTTGACCGTATTTTGCATTTCTAGCAACAGCTGGGGCGGTGGGTCTTCCTACTCAATTTTCGTGCTAATTTCACAGAAGATAGCTCAAGATGATGCTTTATATTTTCATTATCTTCTCTAGGTCTTCATCTAAAGTCTTTTATTTCAGTGTTGAAACTCAGATATTATCACACAGAAAGTCTCCATTATTCCTTACATTACAAGGCCCGCCCCTCAAAGTAGTAATTTTTCCATTTTTAAGGACTTCCTCATTACATCTAAGCTTCGCTAAACTGCGCGCTGTTTATAAGTGCGTCGGAAAAGTTGTGTTCGCCGGCAATAGCGTAAGCTGAAGGACTACCCGCACCCCTGATTTTTGCATTCATGAACCACCATTTCTGGTTCAGAAACATCAGCTGTGCCACTAGTTCTCTCATGCAGATATGTGCTTCCAAGGATAAGTCAAGAATAGTGGTTCTTTTTTGCAAAACAAAATCCACTTGATTTAGCTGCTATTAATCAGGACCTTCAAATTTACTGAAGAAGGGTTGATTTTGAATGTGTTAATCCTCTTCATAGGTTCTTTCTATGTTTTATTAAACACAAGTGCGCTTTGTAGATAGAATTCAGGGGATATTTTTCATTCGTACTTACAGAATTTAACTGTCAGAAAGTTATCTTTCCATTCATAAAATTTAGGGGTTTTTCAGTCGAATAGCATATTGTATAACTTATCGCATAACTTGTGTAAAATTAGATTAACTTGATCATTTTGTCCGGAAAAATTGGTATAACGATTGATATTCCACCTTCTCAGATTCAGTTTAGCCCAATGAATTCCTCCTCCTTTCCAAGTCTAATGCCACTATGATACTGATGAATTTGTATGTTACTTTTCAGCAAATCGATCCGTCACTTTACGTTGCCAGAACACCGGAAAACGACGAACAAGATGTCAGTAAATAAACATACTGACTCCAACCGCCTCCCGTCTCAATCTGTTTCTCATCACATTTTTATTTCTTTTCTTTAAGAATCAAAAATTCGACAAATTGTTCTCTGCTCCTTTCAAACCGTCAACCAACAGTTCTCTGTGCGGTAATCGTACTCTTTTATTTGATTCGTCACGGCTAACTTATTTTTTATCATTTATTTTTATTTATTTTTTTTTTAATTGCGTATGTTCTGTTACATACTGATTGCTATGTATGCTGCACATGGTCACTGTCAGTCAGAGTGCTATGCAGCAATCTGATATTTCCAAAATTTTCCTGTAATCTTCGTTTCTGCCAAACTAGTTTCCCATCAACAATTCTTATATTTCATTATTCGCCTGTCTGACAGGCTTTCAGAATCAATCGCCACCCATGATTCCTGAGCTAGCCACTGTTATTTTACATTCAGATGACTTTGTTTTTTTATTGTGTGGCCTGCCCCCATTCTCACCCTGTAATTTGACTTCATCTTTTTGGTGGAGACCCCATGCTCTGTGAGTTAGCTTTCATCTTTGGTGCATTTTTAACAGCTTGGATCTCTGACCAATGATGGAGGCTCACCATCAGCAAGCAAACCCCTGCTCCCCCCCCCCTCTAATAAAAATTTTGTTGTGATATTTTCCCTGTTTTCAAGCTCTCAAAAGCTTTATACTCTTGAGATCAAGATCCATTTAAGTTGCTAGATGCTTATTTGATTTCTGGGTGTTGGTTCAAATCAGACGAACCAGCTGGTTTTCTCTATTGAGCAGTTTCTCTTGCCGTGCATGTTCGCAAGTTTTCCTAGCTCTTTTCTCCTTTCCAGTCTGAAGTATTAATATTAATTTGTGACTAGTCATCGATTTTTTATTTTTTATGTATGAAATAATGTCTCTCAAGTACCCGACTCCTACCATTTTGATCTTTCTTGAGATTTTATTTCTCGTAAGTGCTCCCCTCATTATAAAGTTGTCTGATTTTGTCACAACATTCTGCATCTATTTTTGTATGCTACTCAAGTTGAGGGTTTCACCCTAATTTGATGGAAAGATATTTTATTTGCATTTATTCTGAGCATCAAATGATGATTTTGAATTCTTTCTCACCGTCTGTTCTCTTCAATTTTTTTTTTTTCAATAAAGAAGCTTATTTATTTTCTATTTTTTTTATTAGTGCAATTTTCTGGTCTCTTGAAGCTTTTCTCCATCTCTATTGCTTTTTCCTTTGATCACGGAAACCTATCTTCCCCTAAATCCCCCCCTCCCCCATCTCCTTTGTTTTAACAAATTTTCTCTATCTATTACGCCCTAGGCCCCTTCTCAGGAATTCATCATGATCTTTCATATTTTTCTTTTCTCTTTAAATCAGGTTTTTCATCAGTCATGGTTCCCAATATGGTTTTTTTCTAAAAGAAAATCCCCTCAAATTGTTCTCATCAGCCATGCGATGACTGGTAATGTTTGAATTATCCAGTACTTGTCTACTAAAATTCTTAACAATCCCCTATTGTGAGGGAGACTTCTTTTCTCTTTAACCCTTCTTATGTAAGGATATTTTTTCCGTGATTCTACGTCTTGTAAAGAATCGATACAATAGTTTAGTCAGCTGATAAACTTGTTGAATCCTTGTAAGTAAATTAATTAAACCGGAAACAAACAAAAAATTCTTAGGGTTAAGAATGAGTTTCACCAACGTCAGTAAATTCAAACTGTTAATGACATCCGATATCGTTATTCTGCTGGCTGAACGTATGAAGTCTTTCATTATTTCTGTCAATTTACCTTTGGCATCAGTAATTCTGTAGGGGAAAGGTCTTTTCTGGAAGATTTTTAATTGAGGTTTTCATTGATTTTGTATGTCTCGCGGATTAAAACTTAAAAAGGACTTTACGCAGTGTAACAAGTGTGTAACACTGAAGTAGGTATTGCTCAACCTGTAAAACTTGGCATCTGAAAAGACAACAATTTTCGTCCATCTTTTAGGCACTCTTTACAATTGAGTGTATTCCAAATTCTTGTGCATTGGTTTTTTTGAATGATTGAACTTTTCCCAGATCAATTACTCCAGTTGACTGTTTTTGAAACTAAGGGAACTGAAACATCAAGGCAACCAGTCTTTGTTATAGTAATTGAAATTAGGGCTGCAAATTGCGAGTCATTCATGAATTCATTGGTAGTTTTGACTCAAATTTTGGGTGGTAAGACAATGTTAAGGAGTGGTAGTGTTTCTTTTTTTTCTTTCTTGCTCATCATTTGATATTAAAGGAGCGAATTTGACTACTTGCTGTGAGGCCTAAGATGGCAGATTGTAAGGGATGGGCAGAATTATCTTCCTCCTATTAAAACATAGAGATTACTTATTTTGGATCTTTGTTTAAAACCAACTTGCTTATTTCCCAGGCCCCAGTCGAGTAAAAGCTTGCCCCAATTTTTTTGTGTTGGAAAGCTGTGATGTTGCATGCTGTTACCAGTTGTGATCTAATGGAATGCACGTAGAACTGTACATAGTGTAAATTGTGTAGATTATCTCGCAAAATACTTTCTCTCTCCTGCTCCTTTTTTTCCCAATAGAACAATCTACTAAAACCTAGCTATTGCACTATCAGCAATTTCAAGCAACTTGGTTCTGTTCCGTAAGGTCCTTTGCATACGATTCTTTGGTTTTTTGACTTTCGTTTGAGTAACTTTCACAGTATTATGAAAACTTCTATTGGTTTCTAATTAAAACATTGTCGTACAATTCTTTTTAAGGCTATTACAGATGTTTCCTCACTTCTATTCTCTTACGATAAATTTTGCTAACTTAGTCAATGATGTTACATGAAGGAGAGAAATGGAAGTTTGATTTTGATCACTAAGCCATTTTTGCATATTTTTTTTCTCACAATCCCTAATAAACATTCCTATTAGCTTAAATGAACCATTTCACCAATGAAGTAAAGGCAATTTAATTTTCCCTTACTTGTTTCTTGAAAGTGTGATAATACCTTAAAAACATAAAATTGCCCAGCTATGTAAGCCTCTGCTTTATCGCTGCCATTGAACCGGTTCTGAAAAATCATCAATTGAAAATAAGCACTGATGCACAGTAAGATCCTCTTCCCCTTCCCACCAGTCATAATAGTAGAAACTTTATTCCTCTTTTACTGTTGATTGACTTTGCACAGCTCAGATCAAAATCCAGGTTGTTCACTTTTTGTTTTTGAAAAGGTTCCTGTCTTTATTTTTTACCATTGCAGCATGAATTAATTGCAATATTGGAATAGTGGTCTAAAGTCATTTCTCCAACTGAGGAACAGATTTCGCTATCATGGTAAATTTCAACCCTGAAAGAGACCTGTCCAAAATTAATTAACAAAATTCAAATCCTAGCTCAAAGTAATCTCCGAATAGAGAGGAAGAAGGTATTTTGTACTTGTAAGTAAATTATTTTTGTATTAGTACTGTATAGTTGTCGTGAGTATTGAAAAGTATATAAACGCAATGCCGGCGCAAGTAACTGCCATTTGGTCGTCTGTAGTTGTGTTATCTGGGCTCGGGTGTTCTCTGTCGCTGACCTCATCCTCTGCTTCATGACAGTTGGTTTCTTCAAGGGCACATCCAAGCTGAAATTTCGCCTAAATTGTTGACTTTAAGCTACTTTAAATATCCCACCTCCAACCAATGTTTATTTTTGAACTTGTCTTACATAGCTAGACGCAAATCAAGAGGGGAAAAGTTCAACAAAGTGAAAAGGAAATTAAGATATTGCAAAGCAACGTTCAACAAAGTCATGTCATTATCTTAGTAGATAGTTTCTCTTTTGAAAGTCGCTACTTCTGCTGACTCTTGGACGCAAGCATCAGGATGTGTGCTCTCTCGTCACAGATTTCCTCTCCCCAAATGGGGTATCCATTAATACAAATAAGGCTGAGCTATACTTATCATCTTGCTGCATTAGAAGTACCATATTGTTAAAGAGTCTAGTGACTTCCGGGTCCTGCAGACTTTTAAAGCAAGATACTATGAAGATGAAAATCGTAGAGGTGAAACTGACTTTCCTGAGTTCAGCTGAATGATATCGGCAATTAGGAAGGAGAGGAGGTCTCTGAAGAGAAGCAACGGCCATCATGACTTGAGTCTTGTGTATCTTTTCCCAAGCATGCAATCATTTGCTGAGGTAGCCTATTGATCACCTGGGCCCTATATTTGAATTGTCATAGGGATGTTGGTTTCCGGATGGGAACTCTTCAAGTGCCTTTAATTTTTAATATTATTCAACTCTTGATGCAGAAAATATTTTTTTATTATTTTACTACCAGTGGTAATAAAAATGTAGGCCTCTTGGTTAGTTGTTGAATCTGTAAGGAAAACTCCCCTTTTCCGGTAGTTTTCGCATCAGCAATCTTGCACCCTACTTTAAACGGTCTGTATTGCTCAAAACTATTTCGTTAGGTTGCGTTAGAATTGCTTTGCTTCCTCTGATCATCAAGCTCATGAGGCTTCAGACCAAATCTAACATCTCTCAACATGTTCTGTCTCCTCCTCTTTCCAACCTTTGAATTTTTTTTATGGTAAAATTTTTCATCCGATTTCAGTTACTGAGAACAGCTATGTTGGAGGTGCCTCTTTTCCAATGGTTCTTTGTTGTAGGCACACAGTGGGGCACAATTCTCCTTGATCAGAGAATACCATCCTCTTGGCCTGTTTTCTCTCATTAAATTCCAGTTCAAAATTTTCATTTTATCACTGTCCTTTCAAGTGAAAAATTTATACGGGGTCGAATAGAATTATATGATTGTGATCATGCTCTATCGGAATTAAAATAAGCTATAGAAGTCTATTTAATGCAAACTTTTAACTGTACAATTTTCATACCCGTGAAAATTAAGTACCTCAGTTATCATTTACATAGTATAAAGAGTCTTTAAAAACACCTGATGATGGACATTCAAGTGAGCCATCGTAACTTAAGTAGGGTGAGTGGTAAACAAAGGTGAAGAATTTTAATTAGGATTAGAAAGGATCCCCCTTTCCTTGCAAGCACAATTTTGCATCGGAGTTATCTAATTTTTTATTGATTGATTTAGAGGGGTTCCAGCTTCCAAGAAAGTGAACTGTAGGTATGGTTCCACTCTACAGCGTTTTTAAAAATCATCAACACTAGTCCTGTACATCGTTTTAGTTTTGGGACACAGGAAAATGGACTGTTGGATTGTTTTTGAACTCTGAGAGAGACTAGTTCAGATATCGTGCAACACGCACAAGATTGGCTCATTGCCTTTTGAATCCTTGCGAAAGTTATTTGCCAGAACTGCCTTTTGAATCCTTGCGAAAGTTATCTGCTAGAACTGAAAATTGGAATTTTTCAAAGTTCTATCCTACAATCGAAATGGTGCAAGGGGAACTTAGTTTCAATCAATTATTGACATTTGTGAAGAGCCGAAGAGCTTTCACTAAGCTAATGCCCCCTTTAGAGTCATAGCTTTAATTCAGTCTGTAGTTGGAAGAAGAAGGTAACCTGAGATTTTAGGACATTACAATTGAGGTGGGCTTTTTTCAAATTTAGTCATCGATTTTGGGTTTTACAACATTGGCAGGATAGCTATCAGTTGAGGTTGGGTGATACTAGTAGGTATATAGTAGTAATTGTGAAAAAGGCACCTCTCAGTGGGAGTGTCTCCATTGAAATTTTATTCTCAAGTGGACCAAAAAAAAATGGACTGATGGGAATTGAACTGAATATCCTTCCAAATGAAACATCTCTGGTAGTAATCTCAAGGACAGTAATTTTGTA